AATAAAATAAGTCAAAATTTCAGCATCATCCGATTTTAGCATCATCCCCGACATTTATTATGTTATTATTTTATTTCTAATAAAGATTTGATGATGACAAAGTTCTAAAACAAATGAAAACCATCGATAGAGTAAAAAACATAGACATGATAAGGCAGATTCAGACTATAATGAGGACGATTATAGTAACTACGATATTGATCCAAATATTAAATTATCGGAGAAACAGATACTGGTCTAAAGTCACTTAAAGTATCCTAATAATGATAGTCCAGATAACTTTTGGGTGTTGCCTTCCGGAAAATCTATTGATATAATAATTCGTGCTTCTAAAAATCTACACAAATTACAATAAGTTTTATATATTCTTTATTTCTTTTCTTCATGTCTTTTGATCTAACAAATTAGCCCTTGTAATTTGTATATTTGTATGTAGCCCGTCGTGTTTAGGAATCATACGCATTAGATCAAAAATCAGGAAGTTAGAATAGATTGAGAAAAAGGATTGAGATTATTTAAATTCAAGTGTCGATTATCTGCATTATGATTTATCAACTGAGATCAAAGATCTTTTTATAGTACTATTAGATACCGTAAATACAAAATGTCTTTTAATAAAAATGTTATTTATATATATTTGATTTTTTTTATTAATCAATAACAGAATTCGTTAAATGAGTATAAAAAGTGTCTTTATAATGTCATATTTGACCATGAAAATGATATAGAAATGATATTTGTAACAGATATCTTATTATAGTTGTAAGTATAATAGTTTGTAGAAATATTGTTTGTTTTTTTTTACAATGTATTTCTTAATTTATTTTAATTTTGAAGTGCAAAAAATGTATTCAACACTACATCAGCTTTCCATAGTATAAATAAAAATAAAGCATTATTGGAATCGCTTATGATTCATTCAATACCTTGTAAACACAACTAATCACGTTATATACGTGCCGTATATTTTGATTCTAATATCAAATTAATACTTTCATTCTTATAATATTAAAAATACATGCTTTTTTTCAAAAAAATAGAGGTAAGATTTATCTTAAAGCTAGCACAAATCAACAATTATTATAATGTAACCTCAAACCTGATGATGATAAGCCTTTAGGCATGAAGTCGATAGTTCTTTCTAGTTCCTGATGAGAGAGGACTCGAGATTGGTATGGTTGAATTATCTGGTGGCTATTTAACCAAGGATCTGCCTTGCTATATAAAAGATTACATAAAGGGATATTGGGGATGCCGTAATCTCTTTAATGATATAATTATAAATTTTAATCATGGTGACTACAAAATTCTGAGACGTTTACATATTTGGTTTTTTCATGTACATGGTAAGTTAATAGATGAGCTAAGTCTTAATTTTTATATTTGTTAATAAATTGTCTTTGCTTGTATATAGGTCTTGAAGTACAAATATTTATCTGTTTTAAAAGTTTACTAAATGTTTCTGATTGGCACTTTCCAGTTTCCAATCAGTTGGGAGAATCATCATAAACTGGTGTATGTACTAAGGGTTTTGCAAAATCTCAAAGTAAAAAAGATCTTTATTCCTTTGTATTGAAGTATTGAAATCTCATTTTGATCATTATTCTTTTTCATACAGAGAGGCTTAGATGATATCCTCAAAGTACTTGAGAAACTTAAAAAGTCACATTGTCAAAATACACTTTTACGCTTTCAATCTTTAGCATTAAAAAATTATATAGGTGATGCTAAGAGTTCACCACAAAAACCTATAGACAAAAATTCATGTATCATAAATCTAGTGAAGCATTATATACACCATGATCATGATGATTCTGATTATGATGATCCGCCTTCACCATCTCATCAGGACATTTTAGATATTCTCAATTGAACTCTGAAAATGGCCAACTTGATAGAAATTGTATATAGATTAGGTTTTAGATTTAGTAATCTTGTAATATAATTATTGATTGGTGGTATGGTTGACATTTACTTTGTATTCTGAATAATATTCTTTAATCAACACCTTGATTACTTATTGAC